AGCCGGAGAAGACGGATCAAAGGGCAGTAAAAACTGTTTCTGTTGTGAATTTTATTTTACGAAATGAATGACATTAAATCAAGTTGATTCTATTCAAAGCAATGAGGAAGCTCCTAAAATGGTTGCAAGCCAAAATTACAAAATATACAGAAAAAAGAAAAAGATTGAACTGAATGAGTAGCGTGGTGCTGAGGGTGACATCGCACACTCACTGAGCGTGCCCGTTTGGCAGGAGGTGCGTTGCAGGTGGGCCCGTCGAGCTGTCCGTGCTCTGCCAGGAAGCCGGTCGCCTGCTCCATGAACGACGCTACATCCAGCTGGTTCCACTCCACCATTTTTTGCCCTGAATTTGAGGAGGTTGAAATTGCACCTTAATAAAAATATTTTGCATTTAAAATAAAGAGTCCTAATGACATAAGTTACACCTTCTAAGGGTCTGGATATCAGGCTATGTTAAAACTGGACGTGTTAATGATCAATTGATATATTTTTCTATTCAGTACTTTTTTATGTGGGGGTTCACAGGACATCAGACTCCTGTGAGAACACTCTACAGCCCTGAAGAAGATGTGGCCTTTATTTACTCCTATATTTACAAATGGAAGTAAATTTGGATGCTGTACATGTCGCCATGTGTGCATCAACTCTGAAACTGTTTTGCATTCAGAGTGAATAAAATTATAGCTGGCTTCATTTTTGCAGTGATCTTCATACACACTGTTGTGTTTATTTTGAAGAATCCAAACTCTGGTCAAAGCTGCTCGCACTTTAATGTAAGAAGCTTGAAAGTGGGAATAAAGACAGAGAGCTGACACTTGCAACTCGGAACAACGGTGAAAACGTACAAGTGTTCAATACAGCAGCGGTCACAACATCTGACATGCTTGTTTTCTTCACTGTTACATTTCAAGAAAATCCAAATACTGAATCCTTTAAACGTTCAATAAATATTCATCAAAGCTTCTCACCTGTGCGTGGATCAAGAATTGAAATGTAGGGAAACTTGTTGAGCTTATAGAACTGGATATACCGTTGTCCCTCTTCACTATCATGATAAACCTGCCAAGATAAAAACTGTACTGTAATGTGCAAACACACAAAAGAAAAAAACAACAAATGGACTCAGGAAGTTGTGCATAAAAACAAGGAAGGAACAAGATTCCTCTCTTGCTGCTGAGAAACTACAAAAAACATGTTTATGTATTTCATAACAAGAATATTAGCATGTTTGGTTTTCTCATAATTTCTGTTGAAACATGAACAGAAGTATTTGAACAGAAACATTTCTGTTCAAAATTAACAGAAATGCTGTTCAAAGATAACGACATTGAAACTGACCAGTCGATGCTGAAACTGTATAAAGCTTTTAGTGTGCACTGGTCAGTAATGAAGTTCCCATAACTTGTGTACCTGCCAAAATATAAAGTGTTCTCGGATGATGTTCTTCACGGCATCGTTGCTCCACACATCTCTGTTGAGGCACTGGCAAGCAAAGTCCTGAACATTTTGTATGTTTATCATTAGCCACTTATTTTCAAGCTGTCCACAGTCTTTAGCCTAAAAGACACAGAAAACAGTCAAGCGCATCAAATATGTTTCAACAATTTATCAAATCAGTTTTTAAATACAAAATTGGCAAAAAAAGATGCACTTGAAAATTACTTTAGCCCCATAACTGACCAATAAAGCAACTTTTGCAGAGTGAAACCACTCAATGTTTTTACATAAACATATCTTTTCTACATCACATCCCTTAAGACCGCCAGAGAGTTCATATATAACATAAATCTCCAGTTCCACTTCACTCCTAATTTTATAAATAAACAACGATAGAATGAAATGACATTCTGCCGGTTTATACTTGGTTTCCCACCTGTGATCTAAACAGCCATTGTTAGAAATTATACAAAAAGTCCAGTTAAACTGAAGAATGGTGAGGTGGAGAGTGACTCCTCACCGTCTCAAAGCTCCCTTTGTGCATGAGCTCTATGGGAGGACGGAAAAGGTCTGCCAGAGTGCTCAGTTTCTTGTCCACTGTTCCACCGTTACGCAGCTCCTGTTCCTGACGAACTTTTAGAGAAAAACATTCCAAATCCTTAGCAACTTAACACAATATAATTGAAAGCTTAAGAAACTTTATAGTCAATTCCTGCCAAGAAGAATTAAACTGTGAAAATGTTTCAAATATCAAATATATTAGGATATAAAGTACACACTCGTTTCTGTTTGAAAGTCTCGGAAACCGTCAAATATAGACCGAGCTGGGCGTCTTCGCTTTGGTACTGAAAACATGAAAATATACACACACAAAAAAACAACAACAAAAAAAATATTTCAATAGCTGTAAGGGACAACATTCTGGTCAATTGGTGGAAAAATAAGAACATTTCCAGTACCTCCAAACAGAGGTTCAGGCTCTACTAAAATGTCCTGCTTCTGAGGAATGGGTGCTCGTACTTCACTGAAATATTACATGACACATAGACAAAAGCAAAACATTGTTGTTAATTACACATTTTCATTCAGAGCTCTGTTTTACCATCTCAATAAAAATCTGTGCCATTCTGACAGTAAAGATGACACAGTCAGCTTTACTTCAGCCTGTGAAGCTAAAACATAAGCTCACTCTGTAGGGGGCGCTCTGCTGCTCGATGCTGCTGAACTGGAGCTGGTGCTGGGCTCCTCTGCCATCCCACCTCCATCCAGGAACATGGTCACCGCCATCTCCAGGTTGTTGTTGCATGCTTCCAGCATGTGTTTTCCAACACTCTCTGTGGCCCCTGACACAATGACAGCAGCCAATCAAATTTAACTCCGTCACAATACTGTAGAGAGCATGAAACATTTCACTGTTCAAAAAATCTATTGAGAATTGATCAACAGCTAATTTTAATACATTTCCAGAAGGGCAAATGTTCATTTTGAAAGCATTGCTAAAAGCACGCGAAAAGAAAATGTATGACAGAAAAGCCACAAAAATTGTAAATGTTTGCAATTTTAAGAAAACAATTTTAATGAAACACTTCGCAGCTGCCCAAATAATTGATTTGATAACGGATGTTATAGCACTCTGAGATTTATTACAATAGAATCACACACTACTGCTTCACAATTACACATGCTTTTTCCACCTCAATATTGTACATATCTAGTCCAAGAATCTCCTATTATCACTTGTAGAATAAACTATTGGACTTTCTTTCCCCCTATTTAAGTAAATGCTAAAAACAAAGAAAGATAAATAATTATAATATAAAAGCAGCAATACTTAAGCAAAATATTGATTTTATTCTGATCAATTCTGTTCTAAACACTTATGTATGGGCTTTGTCCGTTCTTAATCTGTACTGCTGTCCGTCTTTACCAAACACTCTTGCAAATATAAACAGGTTTTTGTTATGAGATATTTTGTTGGTATGTGGAGGAACTGGAGAAAAATCATGTACATATTGCCATGTCTCTAAAGAAAACCTTAGAATTGGCTTAGGCGATAGGGTCCTGTATTTGTTTCGGGAAGGACAGCAGGAGCAACAACGAGTTTATTTTTTGTTTGTTTTTTTTTAAGTCTGACGTTCAAATTTTATTGCGAATCTATAAGCCAGTTACTGCCTTAAAAGTTCGTCTAAAATATGCACCCGGTTTCCAAAGATGTGAAGGGAATCATAAAAAGCGGAAAACTCTGGCGATTTCATGCAAGTCACTGGAAAAAGCCTGAAACGTATCTAAATCATCCATGTCGAAAAATATGTTGTAGGTGGACATGTACAACAAATGGATCGTTTCAGTAATTGTTAAAGCGTCAAAAACCCAACAGCCATTCAAAGTCTTCCGCCTGTACTGCGCATGACCGTTTCACTTTTCAAGTCTGATGGCCCCTGTTCTCACTCTACTCTCCTCTTCTTCAATAAATAACTTAAAACTGAAACACTGCACGTCATCTCAAAGCACTTAAAAACTATTTCGTATGAATGTGCTAACCGTCTAAGGCAGAAGCGGTATCTGTCCAGGTATTTTAAGTGACGGCGACTGTTAATATGATAGTAACCCGACATGAGGCCGGAGATGAAGAAGGGGAATGTTCTACAGCCGACGTCCATTCCACACTCACGGAAAAGAAGCCATCCAAAAAGCAAAAAAAAAAAAAAAAAAAAAATACTGTCGAGACTAACGATGTGTTAAGTGATAACACTTTAACAGGGAAACAAATTGTCTGTTGAATGAATAAGAAAGGCAATTTTCAAAGCAAGTAGCTGTGTAAACCTTCAACATGTATTTTTATCATAGTTTAGCTAAAACTGGCTCTGCTTCTCCACTCTGCAAAGCATTGACAGCGAAGGAGCCACAGCGACACTATAGCGTCCATTTTCCTCATCTGCGCGCTGCTCCATATATTTTGTGGAAAGAGAACTAGTGCTTTATGACCCCCCCAAAGCAACCTATTATTTATAAAGCTTAATGTAAGCTTATTTTTACCTGTTATTGCTGTGAATTGTTGTATTAACCCGTTCACCCCCGGAGCTGAGGTGTCTCCGAGCGCCGCCATCTTACCGCCACAAACAACAACATACAATTGCGGCGCATGCGCTTTGTGGTCTTTTTCGCCTCAACGTCTTGTGCGGCGCGAACCCGCTACAAGCTGGTGCTGCATTCTGGATCATGTAGTCATAATATATGTGTTTAAGGCATACAACGGACTTCAAAATGCATAACCATCACTAAGATAATCTTTATATAGTTTCTTGTGGTTCTCATTATTTCTTATGGATTCATATGATAGTTGAAATACAAACTGAAATATTAATGTAAACTATTTAACCTGAATAAACTTCAGTAAACTGGTTTACAACTGCAGTTATATCCTGATTCTATAGCTATATGGTCTGAAGTGTAGCTTAGGGGTGGATAATAATAGTTGAATACAACCACATAATTTCATATCAAACTTTGAAAAGGTACTCCTCATGACAAGTACAATAAATAAAACGACACATTTTCTTAAGTAGTGTAACTTTATTTTTATTTGCATATTACATTCATTTTGCAAAAAGCATCAACTCATCAGCTCTGACAACAAGGAGTTGAAAGCAGTTTGTTTTAATGCTCCTACTTGACCAGAGAGGCTTTGCTTCGTTCTTTTTCAGAATCTCACGCAAATCTGTTGTGCAGCCTGGCACAAACACAATAAAACATCACTTTACAAAGGGAGGGTGATGATGGCACAGGCCACCTACATTATGAGATGTCCAGTATTTACAAACAAACATTGTGGCACTTCCAATTCAGTTTACTATTCCTTTTTATTTAGGTAAACTAAATTTAAATGAACAATCATATTAATAATGCGTAACATTCTTGTAGATAGTTTTAATGGGATCTCTAATTTTTAACATTAGGCTTTAAAAAGGCATTTGCTTCCTTTGACAACTTGTTGCCATTTGAATGACTAACTCTATGGTATAAACTTGTTTTATTCTGACATTTTTATGCTTATAAAAATTGGGCCCATTTGTCAATTAAAGCCCAGTGACATAGACATTAGATGAGAAGAAAAAAGTGAGCTTAGTTTAGCACTATATTTAATATTTACTTTCTGATAAGTTATTCTGTGATCTTTAATCCCTGAGGTGTGACATCTTTTTATTTTAAAGATGCATCACTAGTCAGTTGGACCAGGGAGTTATTCATGAGCACCTAAGACTTATGGACAACAAACTTGCCAGATAATGTTAGATTTGACTGGTCTTGCCATTATTTGATCTAAACAATCCTAAAGCAACTATGATTTAATATTTATAAATTCTAATCGTAGACTATTCATATCTCAATGTATTTGAATGTTTTTGTGCCAACGCTGAGTTCATTTTGTATTTGTAAACACTTTTTGATCGGTCCAGCCATTAGAATCTACATTTAACTCTGATACAATCTACATTTTATCGTCAGGTGTTTAAATTAAATAAATGAACCACCTGGTGAAAGTAAATGTGACCAAAGGCTGTAATCAGAAGCTGTTTCAAGCTTTAATGCCTAACAAAAAATGTGACATAACATCTGTATGGATAGTTTTTGACATTATCATGAGTTTTACTTTACTACACGGCTCTTTAATCAGCTGTTAAACCTATTTCATAAACTATTTGAAGGAATAGACAAGGCTGCCGGGCAACAAAAAAAACTTCCCTTTGTTACGATGTCAGTTTATTTAAAATAATACAGAAGTAAAGAATGTCGTTCTTTAAATGACTGCGTGGGCCACTTTTCTAGTCTTCTTTTAATTATCAGATGTTTTAAGGCTTCAGTTTCTATGTTTTCTTATTCTCTAGATCAAGATATTAATTAAGCTGAAGCAGAAATAAAAAAAACATAGTTGTTGATTATTATTTTTTTCATCTTGTTACAATTTCCCTTTAAATGTTTGATCTTGAACTGGTCTTTTCTTCAGGTTCAGTTATGCTAACAGCATTGACGTGACAGAACATACAAAAACAAAATCCCCAAAACAGTAATATTTGTCTCCTTTTCCACTAACATAAGAACAATGCAACTACATTGATGTGTTTGGTAAGATCGATTTCTTATTTTCTTGATGGCCACAGCAAGACTGGTGCGCCTAACTGTATCACATATGCAAACAAATTTGAAACAAAAAGGAAAACAGAAAACAAACAAACTACAAAGTGCAGAAGAAACAAGAGGAAATGAGCATAGGGTAGTTTTCCATTTTCACCAGTTCCGCCTTAATAAATAAAAGCTTGAAAACAAAAGCATTGATTGAGGTTTGCATGAGTGCATACATGCATACATGTATGATGAGTGAGTTCTGTGTTGGAATGTATATCCTTTTTGGAGTGACATTATGACATTGTGAGGCCAATATGTTTGAGGAGGTGTTTTAGTGGGCAGGGCAGGCAGGGAGGTGAAACACTGAGAGGTTTGGCAGGTGGGTCGTACACTACAGCTTAGAAGCGAATAAAGGTAGCGTCAATCTGGCGCACAGTGGGCAGTGCCAGCATGATCTTTCTTCTGTATTGAGGATCTTTCTGTAGAGGGTTCCTCTCCAGATACACCGTCTCCAGGGACTTGGCGTTCTTCAGCTCGTCAAGATCCGACCAGTTGTCTATCTGATTATCGTTCATCTGAGGAGACATTCAAATACAACACAAGCGTAAATTAAGAAGTTTGACTTTTAGTTACTTTCTCAATTTGTATCATAAGCATAACAGTTTGGACTTTTATTGTAGATATGGTAATCCATATCTACCGCATCACATCAAAGATGGCTTCTGTTAAAAATTTTCAGGTGAAGTTTTGGATTGACAGGATCAGGGTGGATGGAAGTGTGAGGGTTGAGTGGACATGAAATGGTAATATGAGATTGGAGAGGAAGTTTAATCTACAAAGCAAGAACAGCAGCAGCAGTCTAAGTGAAAAAAGAGATCTTCCAGTGATTGTCTAATCTGAAAAGTGCACTGATCAGCAGAATCTGAGAAGATATTGAGGACAAAGCACAAATTGCCTTGTATTTAAACCAGTGAGTGAATTTTGACTGCTAGTATAGGAGTATCTGACCACAAGACATTCAAGCATGTGCTCCTGTCAGAGCTCTCAAGATTTCCTCCACCCGCCTTCTTCACTGTCACCGATTCAGCTGTATGTTCTGAAATAGACGTCTGATGATTCTACAGAGACCTTGCTTCCACTAGGACCAGGCACACAAAGTTTTCCCTTCCATTTTCTGAGAATGTTTCTGTATTTATATATAGCCTTCCTCTTGTTTTGAAAACAGCAGCTGGTTTATTTGTTGGTAACATCCTATGATTGTTAGGCAGTCTGAGATTAAAACAATCCATGAAACTTTGTAAATTTACCATCACAGGCTGTTTTTGTTCAAAGGTAAAACTCTGGACCAAAGATGTTCTACAGTAATAACCTTCATTTGCAGTATTGATTAAGGGCAGATGCAAAAGAAAATAGAGGTTTCAACTGCCCAAACATGTTAATTTTATGTTTCAGTAAGCAACAGTAAGTCATAGTCTATTTACAGAAGACACACAACTTGGTTAAGGCATATCAAGTTGATTTTCCAACGGTTGTTTCTTGAAGTCTCAGCTAATTATATATTCAGTCATATTCAATAAATTAGAATATGAGTTACGATAAGGCCATTTTTAGAAAAGAAACAGACGAAATAATACACCGAACCGTGATTTACCACTCAGTGAAAACAAGAGGCTAAAGTCATATAAATGTTATATGAAAGCTAAATTGTAAATAATATTCTTAAACACAAATCAATTCATACCCAGAACTCCTGCAGCTCTGTCAGATGGCTGACGTTCTCAATTTTCTTAACTCGATTGGCAGCAACATCCAGCGTGCTGAGTTTTTTCTGTAGAAAAGAAAAACCAACATGAATGAACATTTACAAAATGCTAACCAATTTGTTGGAACATTGGTGCACCATTAAACAGTCTGTCATGTAGCCCTTATTGGTAAACAAAAGCTTGCATAACTCACGTTGTTCTCCAGGCCTTCTATGACCTCAATGCCATTGTGGCTCAGATAGAGCTCTTTCAGGTTGACCAGGTTCTGTAGTCCCTCCATTTTAGTAATCCGGTTGCTCTGTAAAGAAATATGCAGGAAAGTATTGATCACTCTTCTTTTATCATTCTTAAGGTGGTGAAAATACTTTGTTTGCAGGTACCTGAATGCTTAAAACAGTCAGGTTGTGTAAACTGTCCAGATTCTGAAGCTTTGTTATTTTATTGGTTCCAAGAAACAAACTTTGCAATGACGAAAGAGCGTCTAGGTTCTCGATGACCTGCGAATGCAAGACAACAAGATAAAGACATGATCAAATTAAGATCACATCACATTATTTTATGAGTGGTTTAAGAATGTAACTTAAACAGACTCTCTTCGACTGACCCTAATACGATTCGAGCCCAGCTCCAACATTTCCAGACTTGTGAGGTGGTCTATGTTGGAGATGGCGGTGACTTTGTTGTGAACCAGGAAAAGCTTTTTAATTTTGGTCAACTCCTCCAAATTCTCCACTTTCCTCAGAATGTTAAAGGAAACATCAAGCAACCTGTGGGTAGATTGTAACCAAAGAAATGACTTTAGTCAACATCAGATAGGTATTTTCAGGCTTAAATATACATATTTTTCTCTAACCACACTTACTCTAATTCTTTGAGGTTGCTCAGGTTCTCTAGTTTGCGAATCTGATTGTCATAGAGATCTAGTTCTCGTAGTGAGCTCAAGCTCTCAAGGTTTTCTATCTTTTTGATGAGGTTCTGTCTTAAGGATAGTGTCTGGATAGGCAGAGACAAAGAATAGAAAAAAAACCTAAAGCCATTTTGAAGAAAAAAAAACCCCTCCCAGAATATGATCTATTTTTATAGATCAAGAGTACAAAAATAAACTCAGTTTTGCACACTGCACTCACATCTCTTCTTCCAAAATCAATAAAATCTAAATATCCAGCTTGCTTACTTTGGCCTTCTGTAGAACTTCCAATCCTTCGATTTTTCCAATACGACAATGAACAAGATCAACATCCTAGAAGGAATAGAAGAACATCAGCTGACAATGTTCACACAAGACAGGAATGAATTTATATGACAATAATAAAATAACAGGCAAACAAATGCTTTAATGAAAACATCTTCAAACCTCTTCTTCTGGGTCCAAGGTTATGGTGTCCATGTCAACAGGGGACTCTTCTGTACCTTCATAAAGAACAAAATTACACTTAGGAAAAAATGGAAAGGCAATGTGATTTAGCAGAGAAAAATTCAACCTACAGGAACTGCTTGGCCACTTTTAACCAACTATGTGATTTAGAAACATAAATAAATCGGCTCCTGGCTGTTTATGTGGGGTAGCAAAGAGTGACTCACTTGTTCCTGCGGGCTGATTTGGGTCCACATCGCCGTTGATACTCCTTCTTCTGGTGTCATCATCACCAGACTCTTCGGACTCACCTCGTCGATCCACTGACATAAAGAACAAGATTTATTTTATTGCAAAGCAGCAGAGCTTTTAAATCACTGAGCTTATAAATCATTGAGCTTATAGGTGAATCCGTTGCTCCAGTAGGCTGCAGAAACAGCTTTTTATCTGCTTTGGATTACAGTTTTGAGAATAGTCAAAGATGTTGTAACTATGCCCAACATATAATTCCTTGTCTATTTTTAGCGACAGAGCTGACACAGTCAGGAAATTTAAATACTTTCAATCTAACAACTTTCAGTCCAACCTGAGTCTGAGCAGAATTTAGACTTTCAAAAAGCTGTGGCTCTCCCTCACAGATGAACCTAGTATCAGTTCAGGGCTCTACTGATGACATTTAAGAAGAAATATGTTTTGCCTTACAACTCCGGTGAAAATGTTGCCAACATACGTACTGAAAGATCAGAGGATGGCTCGAGAGGCATCCAGAGCTGACAGTGAGCTACTCAGTACCGTTACATTTATATTGAGAATACACGGTGTGCCCTTTGTAGCATGCACTGGTGAAGTGCACGAACAAGTTAACGCCTTCACCCCCACAGACTTAAAATAGTGCCTTAAGGATCACTCGATGAAACGTCTCGGCAACATTTCGTTCTTACCAATTCGTCAGCGAAGATAAGCAGTTTCAAATTTGCAGACTCAACAGACTGCTAAACATGCTAGCTGGCTCGGCTATTGACTGGACTACAGCTAATGAGCAAATGAGCGAAAACCGAAGAATATTAAAAGCAAATATAAATAGTAATACAGGTATTCGCGTTTCCTACAAAACTACACGAGCATATACACCAACAACCGTGCATAAACACAAGACTGACCAGATGTTAAATTTAAAAAAAAAAACGTCAGCTAACGCCTTGTGTTAGCTAACAAAACCAGGGTGAAGGTCTGGGTATCACAAGAATAACGGCCCACCCAGACGGCCAAAATTAAACAACACACAACCTGTTTTAAATAGTTTATACTCTCCCCAAACCGAACAGCTAGATCACGATGACTTCTTTGAACATTTTTATACTCACCTTCCATTTCTTGATGCTCTCCAACAGGCAGAGAAGCCATGTTTCCTGTAAACACTCCTGACAACCGCTTGGCCAATCATGTCGAAGTAGTTGCCATCTTCGAACAGAAGAGGACGCTGTTGCTAAAAAAAACAAACAAACAAAAAAAAAGCTCACTTTGAGTAAACAACAGTTCTCCAGTGCTTTTTATTCAGTATACTTTTATATTTTAATTATAACATGTAAGTGTGGGAGATCTTTTAAATAGTAATTACATTGCAGTTCAAATATATTTCTACATTATGTCACATTGAAACCTCAGAATTTAATGTATATAGGAATCGGTTTGATAGAGACCAGAACAAAGTACTTCAAAATTGTAAAGTGGACTGAAAATTGTAAAATATTTTGTTTCTTTTTTGTCATTTTGATAAATGAAAAGCTTAACATGTTCAGCTGTTTTAGCTCGCTTGAGTCCATAGTGTATTTCTTTTTGTCAATCAACCTTGCACATATTTACAGATCCAAATATTTGCCCATGTCTGAGTCTTTTCTAGACTCTCAGAGGTTTTCTTCACGCCCTGTACGTAGCTCCAACAACTTTGGTCAGCTTTGCTGTCTCTGTTGGATATTATATCCCCACAGCACAGCATGATACCACTACCGACGTGTTACACAATAGAATAGTGTGTTCTCCTTGATATGTAGAAAAGCATTGGATGGATGGCCATCAAAAGATGAATGTCATATTTTGATACATTTCCAGTTGTTCAATAACTTATTCTGTCGCAATGGCCAGAATAGTGCAGTTTGAGTTGTTCAAAGCTTCCAATATTTTTTCCAAACCCAATTTTATTGCTAACCTTTCCGTAGTTTCACTGCTGACCTTTGAGGGATGTCCCTTGACATCAACGATCCTGTCTGTAATCTTTCACAAATCTCTGATGCCTTCACTGAACAGCTGGATATAGGTGGTTTACTGCTTTGTCCTTGGTTTAAATCAGGGTGAAGTAAATTTGCTAACCACAGCAACAACCGTAGTTACATCAGTAAAGTATCAGTCCATTTGTGATCAGTTTAGAAACTCCTTCATAATGATCAGGATTAAAGAAATGTTAAAGTCTGTGTTGAAGGCAGGTCGAAAAAGCTTCCCAATATTAACTCTCTTCCATGTTGTTCATTACCATCTCTCCAACATGCATGCTGTTTCGTTGCAAAACAAAAACAAGGAAATGTTTTTCCTGACATTGTTTCAGCCAGAAAACACCCTCTGTGTGTGTGTGTGTGTGTGTGTGTGTGTGTGTGTGTGTGTGTGTGTGTGTGTGTGTGTGTTTGTGTGTGTGTGGTGTGTGTGTGTGTGTGTGTATGCTGTACTAACTTTTGTTGTTTTGGTTTTAACCAAGAGCAATTTTGCTTCAAAGTTTGACGAACACACACACAACTTCTCAATATTTAGTAGTGTTCCCTTTAATTACATTGCCTTAACAAAATGCCAGATTTCTCCTTGACACAAAAGCTTTATCTTTATTACAGAACATGACGTTTGCTCCACAAACTTGTTCGAAAATTTTTCACCAAACCTCTTAGAAACTCTAAAAGCAAGGTTTAATTAGTAACAGGTCGTTTAGTCATTCTGTAAAACGTAAAACACATCAGAGTAGAGTAACGGCTAAATCATAAGTTAGGGGATATTGATGATGTGAATAAATCAGTACACATTTCACAGCAATAGCTTGAACAGGATAAGTCCCTGCAGTCAGTAACAATATAATATAACAAAAGCCTTTCTGAATTACATAAAGCTTAACTGGTTGCCTCCTAAAAACATTATTCTCCCACAGCTTTATTTATACAGGCACTTCCCATCTGCATACCTTCCCCTTTTAGGACAGGCCTGCACAGGATCGAGGCTCTTACAGTTGTCCAAGGCCCAATGAAGACATTAGGATGCAAACAATTCTTTCTTATCGGAACCTTGCCCAAATACCACTTTAATGGTAATATTTTCAAAGCATAAAAGAACTTAGCATATAGGGTTAAATCCCCTCTCCCCCTGTTTTTACATGTTTTTTTTCTGTGTGTCCTCATGTTTCCTTCAGAAACCCTGTGACAGGTTTACTGGGCATTTCTAAACAAACTTTACATCAATAAATGAGATTGTGCATTAGTAGTTTTTTATTCTTTGGTGGCTTTTGATGGCTCTCACCTCGAGGCAACACCCGGTTCAGTGATTGGAACTAGCACCAGAAATGGAAATGAACAAGCGTACTTAATGTGGAAAACATCATGTTTTACATGTTCTATGTATACACAAAAACAGAAAAGCACTTCAATCCATAAAATAGAAATATATACAATTATTGTTGTAATGTTCTCTTACAAAGAGTGCAAAGACCTTTTCAGGTCACACATTTGTAAGTACCTGGTTTTATTTATTGCAGACAAAAATCCTTGAAGCAAGAAAAAAGAACAAAACGATCAGTCTTATTTATTTTTATTGATAATTTATCTGTGTCGCAATGGTTACAAATAATTTTGGAGAGCAACTACCCGGAACCCTGGGACAAATAACATTAAGGTTTCTTCACATGGTTGTGGGAAGCAAAACCTTTCTACTCTTCTTCGGTGTTTCTTTCTAATATTTCAGAAAAAAACTCCTCCAAGCAATTAACCTTTAGTTCTCTCCTGGCTCCTCCTTTTTGCTCAGGGTTTTACATATATTTCTTTGAAGGTAGGACAAACCAAAACAGCTAAGGAATACATTACCCACTTCTGAAAAACTGGAAAGCTCCAAAGACAAAATAGATATTTAGAAAAGAAGCTCAGGATTTTATTGTTTTTTGTTTGTTTGCTCATAGAAAAACATGAACAAATACACAAAAAAGCAAAACAACAATGTTCTTACACAATGCACAACATCCTGAGGTGGATGAGGATGTTTAATAGTGGATTAATTTTTTGTCAGCAGTCATATATTTTTTAATTGCTATGTTGGTAAACACAAAAGAAACCTTCCCTCAGTTTAGTGAAGGAAAAGCTGATGTTTCTCACCAACCCAAATTTTAAAATCCAGTATGGCTGCCACTTGATGTGTTTTTTTATTTTATTTGTAACCAAAGAAGGCTAATATGTTTTTAAATTGTACTTTTGACATCTAACATTAAGTCTTTCTAATACCTACATGTTAATTGTTGTTTGAATATATAAAATGCAAATATATTGCATGTATAGCCAGCTTTCTTGTTTGTATTGCAATAAAGCTTACCACTTCATGGCAACAGGAATCCTATTGACTCTGCAAATTCAGGTGAATTGAATGCATCATTATAATACATATTTTTCTACATGTTGGAGTATCAAACACTGTCGGAACAAATCTTCTGAAGGAGGTTGCATAGTCATGAATGTTTGAATAATGTAAGAGAAACAACTTGCCAGAAGTGCAAATCTGAACAAATATGTGCAACCTCTGATATATGGTGGCCTGGAAATAGCTCCAGAGCCAATAAAATGTTTTGCAGGGTGCCATAAACAAAGCACAGGAGATAATTCACTTCTCACTGCACTTCAGGAAAGAAATACTGTAAAGGTCAGCTCACTCTGCCGGACTGCAGTGCTGCACAGACTTCGTGTTTTCAAAGACAGAGAAAGTTAGTGGACCACTCTAAATAGATTGCATTTTGTGGAAAGAGTCTTTGCTCACTTTTAGCTAAGCTTTCAAACTTGGTCTGTCTGACCCATCTTTAGTCTTATCACCTCTTCAGCATTCAGAGGTACGAGTGAAACCTGGAGAATCCTGAGAGCCAATCAGAGCCGCGCGTTGCTGAGAAAAGGGGCGGGCAGTGTTCTGTGTCGTCAGTCCCCTGCCTGCCAAGCAGCGTCTTTTAAATATCGCAGTTGATGTGCGGGACTAAATCTTTGCGCTCTTCTTAAATGGCTTTAAGTAAACCCTGTCTGTTAGTCGCTTCTGGGCGCTGAAACTACTGGAATTGCGACGGACTGAGAGCAGACGCCGCAGAAATGCGTTTCTTGACCTTTGTTTTCATTTTCCTCAAACATTTATCGAGCGCCCTTCCTCTTCACGTAGGTGAGTGACATTAACGCCGCTTTTCACTCTGTTAAGAGAAGAAATGTCAACAAGGTAAAGCAACCCGCATTGATGGTCAAAATCCCATCTGTTCTGTCTGGACTGATATGATAGAGATGCAGTTCGTTTTAAATGTTGCTTTCCTGAGAATAAAAGAAGCTACAAAGAAGTACTGCAGGAAGAATATTAGGGGGTATTTGTAAGATTCCTTTTAAGCAGGGCTTTGCTTTTGCTTTTACTTTTTGTTTTTAACTCAGGTGGTTCAGCATACATACGGGAGACATTGAGTTCAGTAGGTTTTATGTCTTTTACTGGTAAAAGGACCTACACCTGTGACAAAACTGCAAAGGCACAAAATCGCAAACTCACCACCTGGCTGAGGTGATACAAGCTGCATAGATGGCCAATAGTTCACCTGTTCGGTTAGACTGTCATGCAATAACATGATACAAATGCAGATATTTTTAAATCTCGCATTCCTTAGGATAAAACAACAGATGCTTTAAAATCTGTTCCTCTGTTAAAGCTACAGTAGGAGGAGCTAATAGCTTATCTATTATTCAGAATGACATCAGAGTTTTGCTTTTACTTTTTGTTTTGACTCAGTGTTGAAACTAAAACTGAAATCTATTTGTTGGATCACAGTAAAACACCTGAAAAACTGTACTTTTCCCATTTGCCAACACTGATCTGTAAAAATATGCATTTTTTTTTTAACTCTGTTATTTTTAATCAAGAGCTTCTCTCAATACTTAAATCTTTTTTTAATCCCATTCCTGTGTCCTTTCAGATGCCACCATAGTTCAGATCCAGCAGTGGGGGGTGGTAGGAGCTCAGCATGTCGCAGAGCAAGTTTTCCTAAATGGAATTTCTCTCTCAAGCCCAAGCTGGGAGGTCCAGAGCATAATCAAAAGCATGTCCGCCAGTGACCTCCTACCTGATGGAATCAGCAATAACCAGACCTCAGTTCTAAGTAAGATGATCCCAATTTTGTGCAAACCAGATAATTATGACCTTGCTTCATAATTATCTGTGTATGTTGATACTCTCCATTTAGGAAATCATACTGTCCTTCGCTCTCGGGAATGCATCATAGAGGGCTCCCGGCTCCACTGGTCTGATCGGGTGTTTTGTGATGGCAAGGTCTTCCTGACCCTGGAGCGCAACAACACATGGACAGCCCATGCGCCAGAAGCAAAAGCCCTCAAAAACCTGTGGGACCAGGAAGTGGAGCATTCAAAAATTGAGAGAAGACGTCTGCAGGAGGGATGCATTCAGCTGATGAGGGAACTGAAGCTTTCAGAGGAAGAGTCAGGTATTTTTTGTTCTTTTTTTCAGACATGTTTTAGAGAACTTTAGTAGACCTTTTTTTATTGGTCTCCTTCTTTATTATTAAGAAGCTAAGTTAAGATGCAGGTCATGTGGTCAGTTTGCCTTTTTGTGTCCCTGGAGCTTTACTACGTGTCTTTTTCAGGAATAAAAAGATCCCTTTAACAACCAATATCATAAACCCTGCTCAAAGTCTCGTCTAAAGACATATGTAGTGGCATTAGCATTTGTGCATTAGCACAAATACTAATGTTCCACTCCACCTAAAAGCTCTGATGATCAGAATGTGAATAATAGTTCCTAAACTACAGGCTCCTCTTACTATACTTTAGCTGTGGTAACACTTTTGAAGTTGCATTTTTTTACTCTGAGTCATTCAACATCTAAAATGAGCTGCATTTCTATCATACTATTCCAGTCCAACAGAATAAACGAGTTATTCACTACCTATGAAACTTGCATCGTCTTGGTTGCTTACATTAATCTGGTACCTTTTTGTTGGTTTTATGGAAACTAACAAAAAGGTTCAACTGTTAAGGTCAAGGTGACGGCATGGAGTTAAACGATGTGGTGCTGTTGTGACGGAATTTTGAGTATGAAGCAAACAAATGAAGCATCATCGCACATCTGATTTTATGCCAGAAGGTCAGGGTATTCAAGTGTACATGGATACAAAATGGTTTGTTGAAAATGTACAAAATGGAAGTAGAAAAGTAGTAGTGATATAAGAGTAAAAACTGACATAGTGTACCATTATGCTGTTCTTACAGTCATAGCCATTTGAAATGTTGTTTTTCTTCTTCTCTGTTTAGTTCATGGAATTCCTCTTCCCAGATTTCTGATCCCAATCTTGGCTGTGACGGCATTTTTAATGCTAATTATAGTGACCATTCTTATCTCAAGAGGCCCTGGTGAGTGAACAACCTTTTTTTCGTTCTTTTTTTCTTTTTTAAACTTAGCATTGCTTATCGTGATACAGAGAAGTACAATTGATGTTCCCATATTGCCAGCCAATGTCTATGTGCTCCCGTCTTGACTTCATTTTCGAGTCTGATGACTGCTAGGGTCACAAAATACACAGCAATTTGAGATGTCTCATCAGTATGGTCTTCCGTAGTTCCAGGAAATGTAATGTCATGTGCTTTGTCTTTGTTCACAATCTGTTTAGGTCTAATTCACCCTGGAGGTAAGAAAAACAGAACTCCTGCTGTTTTCTCTCAAGTTTCTGGATGCTTCAGCTGACATTCTTAAAAGATTGATTAAAAAAAAGTTAAATATTAAATGAACTAAAAAAAAAGAACACATAGCCTTTGGATGAGGATGTTCTGGTTGATTTTTGTGGGTCTGTCATGTGGCTTTTCTTCTCCATCCTAATTATATATGTGCAATGTGACCTCAGTTGCCCCTGTGTTTTGCTTGATCAGCAAGTTACATAAATCTAGTAGGTAGAGCAATGAAAGCTCTTTGAACAGGTTCTCTGTTAAATATTTACATTTCTTGCTTGTTTGGTAATGAAGAAATACAATGTGATTGATTGATTTTTTTTTCTAATTGCAGGGGTGATCGGCTCCATCATCCATTACCCCAAAGACATAACTTACTCTGCTGATGAGAACGAATCGTGTTACAGAGCACTGTGACTCCAAAGACTCATGAATACAAAGTTGCTTGTGAATTGATGCTTTTGTCATATGTTTTTTTTTCTTATTCTCTTTATTGCTCTTTATATTATCGCTTTAATATAAATTACTTAAAGAAAAATTAACACAAGTGTTTGATGCAGTAAGTTATTCACATTCTTATCAATACAAATAAATACATGTTCCTGAACACCCAATAAAACAGTGCAAACTTAATTCTCGCTCTCTCGCTGTTCATCAAGGATGTTTCAAAACCTAATGGTATAGTTTTGCTTTTAAAAAAAGTGTAAATTAAATAACATGTGCTGTTTTTGTATAACGCTTGAAGTGACTTCTATAACACTGTATTAAACTTTATGAAACAATTGTATATTTAGTTAAAGCAGACTATGTATGCACAGTCAAAACTCAAGTCACTCTATCAGTGATAATATATAAAAGAGTTATGAGTAAGGAAGACATTCTCAGAGTCCAAATGTGAAAGTTAATCATTTATGCAGTATTCCTTACTTGTGAGTGCATTTTAGTCGAACATTGGTTTTCTTGGATATTGGCTGACAGTGCTAACACACACAATGGCACTCTGTGAAAATGCATGGAGGCAATACAAAGAATTTAAAAAGCACTTTTGTGGGATTCCAAGATAATTCATGTTTATTAGGAAAAGTTGGATATTACCAGCACCTAGGATGTCAAAAGTTAAAAAGTTTTTTCATGGCAAATTTTTTTCTTTTGTTTCTGCACTGTCACTAAAAACAAGTGTTTTGTGATTAGTAACAATACATTGGAATATAATTTAGAAGTTAATTTCAGCTATTCAATTAAAGTAGACTACATAGATTTGTTGCAGAGAGAAAAATGTGAAAGCTTATTTCTTACAATGTTGATGACCATGGCTTATGGCAATTAAAACTATAAATTTAGTTATTGAAACATACAATAGCTTTAAAAGCAGAATTTATAAAACAGAAATGTTAGAATTCTTTATAGGATTGTCAACCAACTCCTATTAAAATTTGTCAGGGGTTTATTAAAAGGCATAGTCTGTAGCTGGAATTGATGTTTCAAGAGGCATCACACACAGATATTCAGGATCATATGGGCTTACTGTCAAAGTCTTTGTCCCTCCTCACACAGAGCCAATGTCAGAATTGTTTAAGGTAGGCTAAGAAAAAAAAAAAATATTACTACAGAGTCCAGTATGAGGTGATTGTGGGAACCATGCCATCTGCTGGTGTTTGTCCGCTGTTATTTTAGCACACTTGAAGCTAAAAGTGTGCTAAGCTTTCATCAGACAAGAGAGCTTGTCTGTTGAAAAGCTTTCTTGAATTTCATTTTCAGCTACACTGAACACCATTCACTACCTGTACTGTGACCACGGTGTAACTGCGCTTGATTGGCCTAAAACCAATGAGCAAATGTGTAAAAATAAGTTCATAGAATCTATGGAATACCATTCAAAGAAATAAAAAGTTACCAGACATCAATTAGTTGAATTATAAAGAAGACATAGACATTTGTTTATGTTTTTGAAACAAACACATTATACCACATACTTTAGGTTATTATAATTAATACTTTATTTAGTTGTGTGCAGTTATTATCTTTGTGTCAAACTCCACTGCCCTGCAATTTTTAGATGTGCCTCTGCTGGACCACACCCAAATAGAATAATGAGGTCATTAGCAAGGCTCTGGAGAACTTATCTACATAAGAAGGAGGTAATTAAGCCATTTCATTAAAGTGTTTTGTACCTAAAAAAGCTGCAGGACAGTGACCCTTTTGGACTGGAGTTTGACACTCCTGATCTAATCAGAAAAACAAACAAAAAGCAAACAATAGGTGGCGATAGCGTTAAAGAGAATCGGTTTGTTTTACAGACGTCAGCGTCGCAGGAAACAGCAACTGCCAATCAGAACTCCGCATTTGTTCTCGATACCGTGGCAACAGCCACATTTTTAACGGCAGCGTCTTGAATCAGCCAATCACAGAAGCGCGGCGTGGGTTTTAAATCGCGTGGCGTCTTCTGCACGAAATTCAAATCTCAGACGGAGACGAGACGAAGCAACAGTTCCTCAATTTTTTCTGCGAGCACAGTTTGTATGTTTGCTTTTAATGTATAAATGCGATAACGGATAGGTTTTCTTTGTGTTTTCGATCATACGGTGATTCTGTTTGGATATGTTTGTTTTGAACAGGCTAATTATGTTAAATTCCTGTCGTATTTTCATGTGGATCCACAAATGTATCAAAACTGCATGTTTTGGTTCACGCTCAGGAATGTCAAAGCCTGACTGAAATGGCGCAGTTTGGATTTGAGAACGACATCCACAGCATCCTGAAGCTCGACATGCCGATTACAAACGCTCCCATGGCGAGGTGGCAGAGAAAGGCCAGCTCATCCAACACGTCCGGCCTGAACACGTTGTCGCCTGGAAAATCGGCTAATGTTTCGCTAAGTTCATCTAAAACTCCGACCAAAACACCAGGTAATTGAAGAGTTGTTTTTATTGTTGTACATTTTATTTTTTATTTCTGTACTCTTGTATAGAGTTAAAAAAAAAGAACGATGTGTCAACGAGGACGTTTGTAAATGTGTGTGTAATTTCCTCAGGTAAAAATAAGAAAACTCCATCAAAGATGGGAGGCGATCGCTTCATACCCACAAGGAATAATAAACAGATGGACGTGGCGAATTTCCTGCTTACAAAAGAGAATGAACCAGCTGATGCAAACCCTGCTTTGTCAGTAGTAAGTAGTCTGACAGATTTCCTTTTAAAACTTGATGTGGAGTCTAGGATTTTATTGTTCACTTATTTCCGTTTTCATAGGAAAACCAGAAAGCTTGGTCGGTGACACTGAATGGATACAACATTGAAGATGCAAAGATCCTGCACCTAGGAGGGAAGCCACTGAATGCACCAGAAGGTAACTACATGCTAGCTTGGATTTTTAAAGCAATTAAATTGTACTATGTTAAATTTTTATTCTTTTTTTATTAAGGCTATCAAAACAACTTGAAAGTCCTCTACAGTCAAGTTTCAACACCTGCCTCTCTCAAAAAGACCAGATACATATCTTCTACTCCTGACAAAATCTTAGATGCGCCAGGTCTTCGAAATGATTTCTGTAAGAATGCCTATTGCATCTTTCCACAAAACGTCATCCTTTTGTCTGGCATACACTAGTTTCCCCCTCTCTGTTCCAGACTTAAATCTGCTTGACTGGAGCAGTCGAAATGTCCTCGCTGTGGCACTTGACAATAATGTGTACCTCTGGGACGCCTCACAAGGAGACATCACTCTACTTGTGAAGATGGAGCGTGAGGAGGACTACATCTGCTCACTGTCCTGGACCAAAGAGGGAAGCTACCTGGCTGTTGGAACCAGTGATTGCAAAGTTCAGGTAAGGATTGCCATGGATGTGCATTCTAGGCAACGTGCTTGTCAGTATGTGGATCAATGCATGTATTTTTCTTTTCAGTTGTGGGATGTTGAAAATCAGAAACGCCTGCGCAGCATGACTAGCCACACAGCAAGAGTTGGTTCTCTGAGTTGGAATGATTATATTCTTTCCAGGTATAGTTGCTCTGACACTTGAGCAAACCTAAATTGGTCAACCATCTAGAAAAGTATCTGAAGTAACTATTTCCTTCTGTATTTCTTTTCTGTCTTCTCTCAGTGGCTCCAGGTCAGGGCACATTCACCACCATGATGTGAGGGTGGCAAACCACCACATCTCTACACTTGCTGGTCATTCACAGGAAGTGTGTGGCCTCAAGTGGTCACCTGATGGGCGATACTTGGCTAGTGGCGGCAATGACAACTTGGTGTGTTTATGGTCCCGCGTGCAGGAGGGAAGCTCCAATAATGATGGACAGTTGGTCCGTCGCTTGAGTGAACATCAGGGAGCTGTCAAGGTGAGGCTCTTCTCTGCACAGTATACTCTAAGCATTCTTCAAACAGTACTGGTATGTAACTTTCATATAGCTAATACCCTATAGAACAATTTTTCCTTAAAATCTAAGTTTTTGTCAAGTATAAAAAAAATTTATGTTGACATGCCATTGCATAATTGCTACATTTTTCAAGAGCTGTATAGCTCCATATTGTTCTGGAGCTGTACAGTCCACATTTCCGGTGGTAGAAACTGAACTTTTAGCCATCACATGACCCAAACAGAAGAGTGGAAAGAGAGCTCTTAATTCATGTTCTTCCATTGCCATCTTAAAGTTTTAGAGAGGCTAAACCAAAGCAGGACTTGTCTAACAACATCATGCTATTGCTCTGGTTCTCATGTCTTGTTGAGTTCTTTACTAAAGTATTGTCTTGCATTTCCATTATAGGCTTTGGCCTGGTGCCCATGGCAGACGAATATTCTCGCCTCTGGTGGCGGCACCAGTGACCGCCACATTCGTATCTGGAATGTCAACTCAGGCTCTTGTGTCAATTCTCTTGACACTCAGTCACAGGTAACTGTGCCTCTATCAACTTTAATGCTTCATATTGCTGTTTAATTGTGCTTTTCCTGAATGTACAATCTGTTTTCTAAAATGCAGATCTCGTCACTTGTGTTTGCACCCAACTACAAAGAATTGGTGTCTGCACATGGCTTTGCCCATCACAATGTTGTCATTTGGAAGTATCCCTCACTCTGCAAGGTTTCAGAACTTAATGGTAAGTGAGAAATTTGTCTTTACCCATGTCTGACAACAGGTGGACAACTCTACATGCATAAACTCTAAAATTGTACTCTATCCCAATTAATCCATTTATGACTGGTCCAGCAGTTTTAGTATTCTCTTAATTTCCATCCTGGCATTTAATAAAAGCAACTAGGACTGGAGCTTTTGAAGCCTAAGCAATTTACTGCAACATGCATGACTTTCTATACAACTCAAAGTTGTACAAGTGTACAACTTTGAGTTGTACACTCAAAGTGTACAACTCAAAGTGTACAACTTGAGTTGTGGCTTGTGATCATATCACAAGGCTTGTGATCATATTATCCAAAAAGCATTTCTGACACTTTCTACTGGAGCAGTATTTGAAAGAAATGTTGACTGACCATGAAGAAATTTGCTCACAATCTTATGTAAATTTTTTTTCTTTTTTTTTTTTTTTGTAGGCCATGAAGACAGAGTTCTCAGTTTGGTTTTGAGTCCAGACAATGCAACTGTAGCAACTGTTGCTGGAGATGAAACAATTCGTATGTGGAAGTCCTTCGAAATGGATCCTGTAAAGAAGAAGGCTAAAGAGAGGCTGGTCAGTTCAGCTAGCAGTGTCATTCATCAGTCCATCAGATGACTTCCCTTTTTTTGTTCTTTTATATCATAGATATTTTTGATTATACGAATGTATATACAATTGTTTAAACTGAAATAAAGCTTTCAACCCAGTTACTATTATTGGGGGCTTTATGGGTGTTTACTATGTGTAGTTCAGAGTATTGGTAAAGGATGTGGGAGCAGGGAATCGTTTAGGTTTTACTTGATTATTATTTTTTTTATTGGCATGTGCCTTGTAATTACTGAATTAAGATTTTAATTTGATAAGCATATTTATCAAATGTTTGTAATGCATATTTTTCTTGATTCACTTGTGTTGGTTCTTATGAACTTGACTTGGGTTTAATAAATTGCATATTGCCAACTATGTTTGTATAAATCTGAAGACCCATATTCATCTTGAGTGAGCACACAAAGGGAACAGAATCTTTCATTTTGTCCCCTGTGGAGTTTTTGCTCAAGTGAGATACTTTAGAGATTAGACTAACTATACTCCAAATATATATATAATTATTTTTATTGTATTTTTTTCTAAATTAAGGGGAGAAGGGAAGAAACTGGGACCTAAAGTGCCTGGCACCATCTAGGGATATTAATCTATTTTCTTTCAGTTGTCTATGTAACTTTTGGCCTTATAAACTGCCACTAGATGGCTCTATATATCTGTTAGATTCTGAGGTAGACCATTGAAAGTAAGAAGGTTTAGACTGGGGGATATTTTAACATTTACTCATTTTAGAATAAAATTAGTTTATATTATCAAGATAGGTCTATATGTTTTATATTTAGCTGTATTTTGATATAATTTTTGCTTCTATGTGAGTTGGAAAAAATGATCACGTCTGAGATATAGGTTTAGCAATGATGCACCGGATAACAATTGCGTCTCAAGGATAGAAAGACTTTTTTCTCCCCCACTTTTGGGATATTTTATTTCCATTTAAGACAAAAGGTTAGATGTAAAACTTTGTATTTTTATGACAATAATAGCTGCAATGACAAAACAAGTTTATTTTTACAGCTGTTTGTGCTAATCATTAAAGCCTAAAAAGACTTAATTGTTGACATGCCCTGTGTGCCAAGAGATTGATCAATACAAGGTCTCAAAAAAGTATGGAAGTACATGCATAACAATGTCAGTATTAAAGGGCAAAAAAAAGCATAAATACTGTAATATACAGTATAATATTTCCATAGATCTTCATAAAAAAAGAGATATGACCTGTTGCTCACTGAGTGCACATGACCACTGCTTTCTAAATAAAACAGACTTGTCTAAATATTTTATTTCAAAAGATAAATAAAAAGACAAAAAACTAAATGACATTTACAATGAAACACTCATAGTAATATTTACACGTTTTTAGTGAAAACATTGTCATACTCCCAAGCAGCAAATGGCCACGTTAGCCAAACAGTGCTGCAGGACACGCCTGAGTTAAAGAATACTATCAGTGACAAAATGAGCACCAATTTCCTATTCAGTGTTCATCACAGTAAACAGCTTCCACAACAACTTACAAGGTGTTGCATTCAGAGATCAGTGGCAAAAACAGTCTGCCAATCATATCCCACAGGGGGAAACATTTAATAAAATTTGATTATATACAAATTACGTAGTATAGCAGGTAGCATATTGAACTCTTGAATTCAAATATGCTTCTAAATAAAGATATGTGGCATATTTGAAGTGCTAATATCTATAAACTGTCTATGGCTCCTTCCCCTCCCAGAGTCATTTAAATTTCCTTCACTTTCCCCATGACTATATTTCCATTTTCATAGGAGTGAGCATGCCCATTTGTATGGGGTTTGCCATTCATCACAACGTGTCCGTTGGTGGAGCCATTCTGGTTCGGCTTGCAGTCTGCAACTGGAAGACGGTTGCCCTTTATGTAAGCCTGCACCCAGAAGTTGGAGAACAGGAGGAAGAAGAAGATCCCGTACATCCAGATCAGATGGATCCACAGTGGCATTTGATAGTCGCACTTCTTCATGAAGTAATACTGGCTAATGTGAATAGAGATCAGAATAAACTGGATCTAGAAAGCAAAGAGGGAAATGCGTGTCAAAAATGGGCTGAACGTATGACATGCATCAAAACTCAGTTGAATTAATTAAGCTGTGTAAAGCTAAAACATACCAGCTGGATGGCTGTCATGTGCTTCTTCCACCACAGATACTTCTGGAAGCGAGGCCCTGCAGCAGAGAGTCCGTAGTAGGTGTACATGATGACATGGACTGCTGAATTCACCATAGCATGGAACGACCCCATTCCTCCAGCTTGGGAAGGAAAAAGCATCCATTTGACTTGGTTAATTTTATGAAAAACATTTTTGTTCTTCCACAAAGAATTTCATTGTTTTGGGGTATTGACTTGTACAACAATGGAAAGCAATGTTTCCGACTGGTCAGTGTGTAAAGTGTGTGTCCTGGGCCTGCAGCACTCACCAGGCGTCTGCGCAACACCCCACCACCAAGACCAGGGCATGAAGGAGTGATGGAAGACGTGGAGAAACGTGATCTGGCTTTGCTTTTTTCTCAGCACAAAGAACACCTTGGGGGAAGAAAAAGGGTGGATACTCCATCAGACACAAATTATGTTGCACATATGGATTTTCTGTGCATGCTAAAAGTGAGCTGGAGGAGACTGGTGAGGGAATGTCCTTACTGTGTCGAGGAGTTCCACAAACTTTGAAAAATAAAACAGCCAAGCGACTCGGACCATCTGCAGGAAAGAGGGTTGTTGCTGGGTCAAATATCTGTGGTATGTTGCTAATCAGACAGAATATTATCTGTCACATGTTTTTGAACAATATAAAAACATGATTTAGCAATTTTTTGGTTGTTGTTAAATGAGAATGAACAAATAAAAAACAGAAAATGCCTTTGTTCCTGTAGGCATTATAGTTGCTTTGAATTTGAAATTAAAATTATGAGTCTTGGGGTCCGTTCACTCTGTCTGAAATAATTTGCTTCTAAACTGGGAAACCATTTTATGTTAGTGTCTCATAAATCTGATCCTCTACCCTTTGAATTCATGTCATACTCGCATACTAGCTAAGTGCGTTTTAGGGAATATAAAGTATAAAATGTAGTAGAAAGCAAATCTGATTGTTTTTTTCCCCACCAAAGTTATAAAAGTATGATTGCGATTTTTATTGATGTTCAGGGCTAATAAAGGCAAACCTTTTCCAAAACTTCACAGTTTGGGTCTTCTACATTTTCTAAACTATTTATAGCGCATACTAATTTGAACACTGATGTATTTTTCTCCCCTAATCTGTTTAGATTCCTCTGGTAGACTCAAGTAAATAATAAAAACAGCTTGTTGTCCATTAGTTCACTTTTTATCATTTCCATATGAAAATAGAACCAATTTCAATTAAATTCTACTGATTAAAACTCTCATCATTGTGACCTAGATATATGTTACAACAACACTTTTTGTTACTTTTGTACTCTTCTACACTTTCCTGGATAGCTAAGGTTAGCCATGATTTTGGGGCTAAACATACAACAAATGTAATGACTTACCCTGAGAGCTTGTGGGCTGCTGGTGACGTCAATAAGATCACATTTCCATGTGTAGGTGGTGCCCCATCCAGACATCATGAACTGAATTTGCAAGAAAACATCAGTAGACAGTCGTTAACCACCTGATCGCTTTCATTTGAGACAGCAGATCATCATTTTCTTCTCTCTCTCTCTTTTTTTGTTTTTACCTCATACACTATGTAGGCATTCAGTAAAACCATGCTGAGGTTGTAGATGATCATGGCTCGTTTGAGGCCAAGCGGCTTGCGGTTGGCCATCACACGTGGGCCGACATACACCGAGAAAACGACATAGGCCAGGAGGACGCTTGTCATCTGCAACGGGCTCTGCATCAGAGGGTAATCCTTCACTCTGGCATCTGTGGAAAAAAAAGCAAACATGCCCTTGTCACTTTTTCATTTGACCACATCCAGGCAAATGTGAATAGATTTGTGGGAAATCTCTCTTTATAGGACATTTTAGTATTAAAGATTTTCAAGTTTTCACTTATAAGTGAAGATGCTAATTAGAGGTATAAATAAATTAAAAGCAGAATTAGGAAAGCAAACACTTACCAGTTCTGGATATTATGTAACCATGGAGTTTTGTCACACTTGAAAAAGCTTCCCGAAGCATGCTGACGGCTTGCCTTTCGCTAGGCCAAATTTCTAAGAAACACATCAAAAATAGAGAAGATTCTATCCTAAGAACAGGAAATTGAGGTTGTCAAGAAACATGGATCTATACGCCTGCTTTCCTATTGACTGAACAAACAGAAGGCAGCTGGTCAGGCTCACCATCTGCCCTGGAGCGACTCTGACTACAGTGCCCTTTTAAACAAATACACAAGCAGAATGTGGACAAAGAGTTTCTTATGCAGTTACAGCTGCTTCTTCAAGACATAGGGAGGTTTTAGGACGGATTGTGAAACATCTGAACATTTACTGTAACGACAATGATGTAGTCATAGCTGACAAAGCAGGTAAAACAGGTGAGGTGAAGGGCTTGCCCCATGTGGCTATCAATGAACTGAGGCATCAGGCAGGAACCTGAGAGATGTTTTAATCTAGATCAAATTCCTTTCAACAAACTGTTAAACTGATACACACACAAGTACGGAGACAGTGTGTTGAAGTGAAACTAAGATCATGTTCTGATTTATTAAACAACGTACAACAAATGTAATGACTTACCCTGAGATCATGTTCTGATTTATTAAAACACAAATATTTCTACCAGAAAAACAGAGATGGTGAATTTGATAAACAAGTTTAGATTTTATCTTTGTAGCTCACCTAAAAAAAAGTCTTCAGCAGTTCAGAGAGGATCCGGACCAGTCCAGAGGGTCCAGCAGATCAGAGGTGAGAGGGGTCGGGTGAAAACAACAGGCACACACAGAGCTAAGTTGTGAGTGGGTGTCAGCCTCCTGCCTCCTTCAGTCGTGAAGTCGTTTCTCTAAAAAAATTAAAGACAAAAAAAAAATCCAACGGCAGCTTCAAGTGCCGGTCGGTGAGAACCAGAAAGGAGTGAGTGAACGTGGCTGATCTGCTGTAATGACTGTGGTGCTTGGCTCATTCAACCCAATTTAAAGCCTCATGGCTGTACTACTGTCCTTGCAAGTTTCAGAGCCACACCCTGTGTCAGTGCCATGCTCCACCCTCCTGTCCTGACTGAGCCTGGCTGTGATTGGGCTGCTTCATGAATGGTGATGAAGGGGATGGGGTCACAGAGGTTGGAAGCCTTGGCTTGAGAAACAAATGTCCAAAGGTGGATATTCTCTTTATCAATAAACAACCAGATTAGGATTTAAAGGGCCCCTTTCTGGACAGTGAAAATATATGTGCTGAAATTTAAACAAGACTCAGTTTCCACCAAAGTAAATCTATTTTTCCAAATCTGTCTCTCTGAAATGAATTGGGTTAAAGGTCAAATCAAAGTGAGCCATTCAACAGACCAACGTGACTTTTTGGAGTTGCCCATCCCCTCTTGTGGTGTAGTCTCAGAGGTGGGGTTGCTACCGGACAGGTTCTCCAGTGCCTCTGGTTTTACCTGTTTCCCAGGCAGGCGAGATGGGCGTCAGCTCTGGATGTTGCTCGAAATATCCTGTGCAGCATGTACCCTTGAAGCGGATGTGGACTGGAATGACAGGCATCTATCTGTAAGCGAGAGAAAAGGGAGGGATGGAAAGGTGGAAGTTTGGAGAATTAGAGGAATGCTTGCCAGCTGTCCGTGTCACTGACAGCAGGCATAAAAGACCTTAATTCACTTAGTGTGAGAAGACCTTTTTGTATAAGCATAGATGTTTACATACACAACATGAAACAACTTTAATATATTTTTTACCTCCTTCTTTGGTCAGTTAGACTTCCCAAAGCAAATTTTTGTTAAATGTCAGAATATAAAAAAAAATACATAGCTCCTTTTTTAAAAGACTGACATCTACATACATGAGTTCCAGAAACTTTGGTAAAGGCTAACAGATGAGGTCATGGCTGTGAAAGCTTATGGTGAATTCACAATGTAAGGCTGCTTCCTTGTGTGATGTCACGTGGACGTCAAAAGAAGTCAACCATGATAACAGTAAGAGGACAGTGGACAAATAGTTCTGGTTTGTCCTTAGATATGACTACCAGATTCCTTAAGGTGACGTGTTCATCTATTCGAAGAATTATACAGAAGCATTTCAGCCTACAAATGCCCAGCTGGTTTTGGCAGGAAATGGGTTGAATTCATTTAAGTCACATGTACGTGGATTTGAAAGCAAAAGACCTTATGAAGATGCTCATGGAAGGAGGTACCAGGGTGTCATTATCCACAATGAGAGAAGTCCTGTAAAAACTCTGACTGACAGTATTGGTACAGGGCTAAAAAAAAAAAAAAATCTCTGAAAATAACTTAAAAGGGCAGATTATAGTTCAATAACAGAGACTGGTCAGCTGAAGAAACTAAAACTCAAAAGTTTGACCATAATAACCATTTTTACATTTGGAGAAAAGATTTAGAAAAAAAATCCCAACTGTATGGGTGTGGCAGCATGATGCTGTGGGAGTGACTTACTACAGGAGGGACCATATGTCACAACATAGACAGCATAGTGAGGAAAGAACATTACTGGTAATATTGAAAACACAAGCTCTTTAAGCTTGAGTGCAAGTGGATCTAGCAGTGACAGAAAGCATAAATGAGAACTAAGTCCATATTTTGGACTCAGTTCTTTAGGGTTAATAAAAGGCTAAACTAAAATGTTTAGAACAAAAGCCTACACACTTGTCTCAGTTATACCAGTTAACTTTATCAAGCAGGGTCACTTAACAATAATGACATGTACACCAACTGTTTCTTTTGAAGAATACAGTAAAAAAAACTCTAAAATTTCTCTCTCTCTCAATCTTCAGGCCTTTAACAAATAGAAATGATTTATATTATACTATATAACCTGAAACAGAAAAATGATGCCCCCTGAACCAACAGTTCTGTACATGGTTCTTCAAACTTTCCTTAATAAGTTATACTTTTTAACAAGAAGTCAGACTTTCTTCTCATATTTTAAATGACCATCTTTAGACACTATGTTGTTTAACAGCCACAACATTTTCTTGAAATTTGATCATAAAGTTTTAGCAGGTGTAACAGAAGCGGGGCACATACCCTAGTAAAATTGCCCTGATGATGCTTGTAAAAGGAAGCCTTGACAAGTGCCTCCTTAATAATTGCTTTAACTCTCAATTTCATTCAAGATTTCAGTTTCACTGACGTTTGAATGAACTGAAAATGAGATGTTGCTTACATGGCTGGTTAGAAGTGAAACTTTTTCTTTTCCAGCACTCTTCTGTTCATTCATGCTAAGAAAAATGAAATGTGATGACGCAAGCTTTTTTCTGACATGCATGTTAAACAACAAGTCAGGCAAAAATGCAAAAATGCTGGCATCGTAGACCTGGCAAAAAAACAAGCCAAGAACAATGGACACTTTTGTCTATTAAAATACTACATATTTTGATGGACTGTTTCCTCATAAAGGTTTAAGAAACTAACTGAATAGAAATGTTGTGATATCATTCTGAGCTGATATGCCCTTATTTCTTGTTTTAAAAAAATGAAATGAAAAAAATAAAATATAATACACGAAACAAAACTCTATTTGTTTTTCTTGCGGCTCCGTAGCGTTAATTTAAATAAAGTTTCTGTCTGTCTCCAGAACCCAACTCCCCAAAACCAACACAACAGAGATGCATTCACCTCAGCAGCACTGAACAATGAATGAATGGCGTTCTCGAGATATGCTGGTGGCTCCCAATTAGGCCCATTGTGAGAAACTGCACTGAATAGCTGCCCCTTAAATAAGCTGAAAATAAGATGAAAAAACAGACATATAGAGCTGCATGTGAGCATGTGTCCTATAGCATGTTATTTTATGAAACTCCTGTTATGTAAGATCACGTTCACATGGCCAGTATGCCTCATCAGAAACCCGATGACACTTACATCCAAGGAATGTGTTACTCTGCGGTGATTTCATTATTGTTGTTGCATAATAAGATGCAGTATTGTGCAGCCCATTGTGAGGAAATGCTATTGTTTTTGCGATGTTTCAATAAGTGCAAAGTTTCAACTTCTCTGACCACAAGTGCTTATGCATTTATGTTTTTTTTTATTTAACTGACACAATACACAGGAGAGCTTATCAAAAGATTCCTGGGAGAAAAGAACTTGAAATAAGCATGTTTGGTATTATTTTAAAAATGAATTTACCTTGTTCATTTTCCTCATAAATCATGAAAAAATCCCCAAAAGTCACCCTGGACAGGTCACCAGTCTGTCGCAGGCAATATGTTATTAGTATTACAAAAATATTCATGTTAGGTAAATGCAGTTTTCTTCTCTTAATTTTGAATCTGTAGTGATTAAGCAACAAAGAGGTATGCAGAATTATTAGACAACATCCTAACTAGACTTTTTTCATTCCGTTTGTGTTTTTGACACTTGTATAATAAAGAACAGAGATCAGTAAGTATCTGCATAGCATTTTTGTATTTTTTTATTGTTTGTGTTATTCAGCAACTTTTATTTGTTATTATTCTGAACATATTCATTCATTAATGAATGATTGATGATTCCTCCTCATTATTTCTCCAGATTATTACTTTATTTATTAATTACCAGAGTTTAACTCTTTGTCTTCAAATATTTTACAATTATCACCACAAGAATTTCTTGACGAAAAATGTAAACATTATCCTTTTTCCAGTGTTGTTGCTTAATGCCATTTCTGAACATTGAACACCTTGAACTTCCCGACAGTCCAGACTGGCAACAGTCTTTCAAATATTAACTTCCTAGTTCATGTTACTGAATTGCAATTACATTTTTATAGTTTTGACTTAAAGCACCTTGTAAATCTCATGTTAGACCATTTTAACTCGGGAATCAAGGAAATAAACTAGTTCATACAATAAACATCTAAAAATCACTTTTTATTGTTTCAGTATGGATTAGCATTAAGTCAGTGAGCTTAGAACAATCTTACTTAACATCTGTGCTTACAGAGCACCAAAGTTACACATGAGATCGATCGAGTTCACTTCCAAGGCTCTGTTTTCATGTTATTTAAGACTGCATAATATTGAAAATGTGAGTTTCTTTTTCTATTAAAGGCTCTGTTAAGGCCTTAAGACAATGCTGCAAAATGACCGGTTTCAAGCATTAGAAAACACCATATATGGTGTTTTCTAATGACCATATAATGGTCTTTATATTGACCATTATTCCCAGTTGGGCTTGACAAGTCTCAAAGGAAAGGTGTGACGTTAAAGAAATAACTTCAGTCTGACAGGATGTAATCATTCTGATCACCAAAGCGCTGTGACCTACTTGTCGAAGATCTAAACACAAATAAAATAGGCCAGTCTGACTCTTGCCCTTCACATGCAAGAAAAATACACATTACCAAAGTTGTTTTTGTGGCTGTTTTTCACAGTGAAAAATTGATAAAAAAAAAAGGAAAAAAAAAATGAGCAGAAAACTGAGCATGGTAACATGCCAAAATCTGGAATCTTTATAAAAACTTTGGAAAGTTTCCACCCACACTGTATGTAACAATCTATTTGCTCATCTTTACTTATGAATGTAAACAAAAACACCTGGGAGTAAAAAAAAAGGGGGCTGGGGGAGGGACTTGCTTTATCATCCATTGCTGTCATTTGAAGAGGATTATTCTGAAACTACCCAGGTGACATGCTAATTAGAGAGAGGGAGGCTTCATTGGGTGAAAAACTAGAGAAACCTTTTAAATAACTGAACTGCGTTGTTGTTTCATCTTGGAACACAGTATAGAGTATGGCCTTTTGACATCAATGAATGATACGAAGTAAAATCTATTAAGAAATTGAAGTTTTATTTTAGAAATCTGTCCCTGATACGATTTAATTCCTAGCATTATTCACACATTTTCAATTACTTAATGTTTTCTAAAG